ACCCATTTGGCTGCCCGCTGAGGGCTGCACTCCCTGGAGGGCGGGCACGGAGCTCGCCGTTTCTCTGACCCGACAGGAAGGTCCCGAAGAGCTGGCCTCCCTGTCTAATTTGCTTTTAGATTCCCAATGACGCCAAGTGACCCACGGTGCTTGAGTGAGTGAGTGAATGAATGAATGGAGGGAGGGAGGGACCCGTGCTCCGATGGAGGCAGGTGGTAATTGGGTTGGTGGTCCAGCATCAGGCACACCACTCAGGCTTCGCGTCCCCTGGATCAGGAGTCCCTGAGCCGATCCGTTTCCTCATGCGTGCCTAGTGCTCAGACTCAGAGGGCTTAGTGAGGTGCTTTGGATGGGAAGGAGGGGAGTCCAAACCTCAGCACATTTCTGAGGTTGGTTTTCAAATTAGAACCAGGAAGGGAAGGGCTCCAGAAGCAGGGTGTGTGCGCCAGAGGATCAGCGCGTCTGGAGAGCAGCGGCTCCACCTTGCAAAGTGGCTTTGGTCCCCGCACGGCCGGCCCGTCCCCCGGGGACCAGCTGGGCAGCTCCCTCTCGGGCAGGCCCTGGCCAGTGCCCAGGGAGGAGATGCTTTCCCGGAACTTGGAGGCGCTCTCGCCTCTGCCTGAGGCGCCATGAAACCCCTGGCAGCAGGGGGCCCAGGGGGGTGGACCCGAAGCTCAAGTACCGGGTATCCGGAGGGATGCTCCTCTTTGACGTGGAGGTTGGGGCCCGTGAACCCTCAGGGAGGACCTGCACGCACGGAAGAAGGAGTTGCATCCCTTCCAGCAAAAGGAATGCTTCCCTGGACAGGCCGCTCGTCCTGCAGCTGATTTCCTCTGCTGGCACAGGACAGACAGCCCATGGTGTGGGACCCTGAGGCGGGGGGTGGGGGGGGGAGAGGGGATGGACTCAAGAATTCCTGGACGGGAAGGCTTTTCCCTGCACTGACCACCATTGCTGAAACACTAGGCTGAATAGCCCGAGGTGGCCCATATTTGCGTGGGGACGGTGTATGTGTGGAATTTTATCTTATTTTGCTTCAGGCTGACCATCAGGGCCAGACGACTGGCCACTGTGACAATCCTAAATTCCCCGTCCCGTCCCGGTAGGCTCCGTTCCGAGACCTCGGTCCTAAACGTTCCAAGTGCGTGTGTATCTAGCGACCTCACAAAAGCCCTCGTGGTCGCAGGTGCCAGACACACGGATCAGGTTTGCAGCCGGTTGCCCGGTCCAAGGGCTGCCTCCTCTCGGGCCGGCCGCAGAGCTTGAGGGAGGGGAGCGGGCTGGCAGGCTGTGGGGAAAGTTGATTTGGGGAACGGCCGCCTTTACGTACGGAAGGTCGCTTATGGAGCTGGCAGGCACGGGGCCGCTTCGGCGAGGCCGAGCGTGTGCAGTCGCCGCTCCTGGCCGAGCTGTGTGCTTGGAAGAGGGAAGCACGCCGCGGGCTGTTGGCTTCAGGAGTCTGGCTCCCTGTTCCCGCCCCCTGAGTCATGTCCACTGGTGCACCTGCTGCTTTTGGAGCAAAGCTTGCGCACGATCACCGTTACTCTTCAATAGCGCTAACGTGTACTCATCTAGGAGATCTGTCTCTTTCCCTTTCTTTCTCTGCCATGAAATAAGATCTCCAGGAGTGTGTGTGTGTGTGTGTGTGTGTGTGTGTGTGTGAAGGAAAAACACCTTCTGAGTCATTGCCTGAGAAGTAGTTTTATTGCATTTTTTCAAGTGATTCAAGGTAGCGAGAGCAGTACAGGGCAAGCAGACATTTAAACAGAAAACAGCAAACAGCCAGGTGGTAAAGACTTGTGCTTTACTCTGCCCCGGGGAAGGTAACTCCCAGCCATTCCTGACGCTGGGAGCAAGTTGGAGAATGGGGCTGGGGAGACTTCTCTCATAGAGGTGGTGGTGCGCGCACACACACACACACACACACACACACACACACACACGAACCGCAGCCTGTAAGAGAGAAGCTTCGGCACCTGTGACGACCTCAGAGCTCCCATTTGTGTCTCGGAGAAGCAGGAAGGTCCTGATGCACATATGGAGACCTGGTTCCATCCACCCATCGCGTTAGCTGGACCGTGAAAGGGCGCTCTTGTGAGCTCCCGAGGGCCCAGGGAACAAGAAGGAAGCCGTGGAGCACAGGCAGAGGCGTCTAGGCCGGGGGTTGGCTAGCCACAGCCCGAGGGCGGCCACCTGCGTGGGGGAGTCAAGCTTTTTGTGTTTTTTAAAAATATATATTTTATTGATTTTTCGCAGAGAGGAAGAGAGAGGGATAGAGAATCATCGATCAGCTGCCTCTTGCACACCTCCTACTGGGGATGTGCCCGCAATCAAGGTACATGCCCTTGACAGGAATTGAATCCAGGACCTTTCAGTCTGCAGGCTGATGCTCTAGCCACTGAGCCAAACTGGTCCTGATGGAAGTCAGGTTTTACTGGCGCCCAGCCACGCTCACTCGTTTCTGTATCGTCCGCGGCTGCCTTCATGCTACAAGCACAGAGGGGAGTAGCTGGCCGCAAGGTACGGCCAATGCACCCAAAACATCATCTCCCTGGGTCTCTCAGGGAAACGTTAGCAGGCCCCTGGTCTAGACAACTAGTCAGATGAGTCAGGTGTTGGCTAGAAGTCCCCAACTCATGGTGCCAAAAGGAGGACGGGGTTGGCTTTGGTGGTTGTCATGCACTGTGTAATTTTAAAACGTCTTTACAAGCTGGCACGACGGAAAGTCTCATTCACCCTATTTTGGAGCAGCAAGGTGGAAAGTGATATTAGACCTGAGTACAGTTTCTGTGTTACCTGGACTTCTAAAGCATTGCTCCATTGCTTATATATACCTGAGTCAATGTCATGTCTCCAAACTTTAAAAAAGATGCAAATGTTGGTGATTTTTAAAGTACTGGCATTATGCTTTTATCTGTAGCAGAATTCTACAATGCTCAGCATCAAGCACTGTGGCTATCCTTTCAGTCTTACTTCAGGTAAAACTCTTTAGGCTAATAGTTTCCCCATCTTTGAACCCGTTAAGAGTCACCAAAAGCCTGTAGGTTAAGCACCAGACACATTCCCGAGCTGAGCTTGCCAGTGCCAACACGCTGGACCAGTTCAGTCAAACATGCCATAAAATTATGACTGTTTTATTCAAGTTAACAGAACACTTTCCACAATGGCAGGAGTTCAAAAGCCAGATGTGGGCTCTAGGTTATCATGCACATGTTGGTGACAGCTTTGAACCTTGCCTTTGTGGTCAGGTCTGGTCAGGAGAGGAGGGTCTGACTAAGAGCACACTCACAGATCTGCAGCCATGAAAACCACAGTCTCCATAGGACTGTGTTCACCAAGCTACACAAAGGCAAGGGGCTGGGACCTCACATGTCAGAGGTGACCTGGAGGCTTTGAAATGCCCTGAAGGGGAGGGGCTATTATTTGATGTTGGTTAGAATGAAGGCTCTTTTCTCCTTGTTTGAATATTGGGTAGATTCGTAAGTGGTGATGATGATGGACGCTGCCCCCAAAGGTGATCGTAGTTGACTTGTGACCAGTGGCAACAGAAAAGCCCTCCAGGGGACAGGAGCCCCGGGCTTCCTCTCTAGACTCAGATGGACCACCTGGCTGTGTTCTTTGTAGAAGTCCGTGGTTGGCAAACTGCGGTTCTTTGGCCCCTTGAGTGTGGCTCTTCCACAAAATACCACGGCCTGAGCGAGCCTATTTTGAAGAAGTGGCGTTAGAAGAAGTTTAAGTTTAAAAATGTGGCTCCCCAAAGAAATTTCAATCGTTGTACTGTTGACATTTGACTCTGCGGACTAACGAGTTTGCCAACCACTGGTCTAGGGTTTAAATGGCTGGGCCCCCAGTTCTGTAACTGTTCCTTCTACCTGGGCAAATTTATAAAGTTCGAAATAGTGACGTAGGGGAGAAACGCCGTGTTAGTGAAAATATCACCGGGAATTTAAGTATGATTTTTTTGAGACGTGTTAAGAGTTACAACATATAACTTATAACAGCCCACATGATAAATTATAACAGCTAAACAAATGAAGGCACAAGGATATGAAATTTTTTCTTTAGTTTCAATTCAAATGTAATAGGATCTTAATAGCTGAAGGAAACGTCACCGTTCTGTGTTATTTAAAAACAAAACAAAACAAAAGAAACACCAGTTCTAGTTCTTAGGTATTTTTTCCTTAAGGAGCCAGCAAGGTTTTTAGGTTTGGCCTGGCCCATCTTGGAATGCCACTTGTAAATCTGAACTTAAAGGTACCCTTCATGTTTAAAGAGCATAGTAGGGCTGGTTTTCTGAAAAGAGGACTCTCTATTCCTCCCTGTTCTTTTTAAAATATATTTTGTTTTTTTTACAGAGAGGAAGAGAGAAGGATAGAGAGTTAGAAACATCGATGTGAGAGTCATCGAGCTGCCTCTTGCATGCCTCCTACTGGGGATGTGCCCGCAACCAGGTACATGCCCTTGACTGGAATCAAACCCGGGACCCTTCAGTCTGCAGGCTGATGCTCTATCCACTGAGCCACACCGGTTTCAGCTTCCCTGTTCTTATTTAGGCACAGAAGGGTGAGAGACCTTGACGGGGTAGCTGAGAAAAGATTTCACAAAAATGATTGCTCTCAAACTTGTATTCCTGGAGTCAGGGGAAGCATCTCTTTAAAGCAAAGCAGCCGGCACCCCCGGAGGCTGAGAGCAGCCAGGTCGGGGCACGTTTCTGCGTGGCAGTTCTGCTCGGGTAGCCAGGCCCTTGTTAAGCTCCAGGCGGCCAGAGGCTGGCTCAGGAGAGGCCCGGGGGTGGGGGGCACTTGAAGTTACATTCCAGGCGAACATTAGACTGTCAGAGCACAGGGGGCCCGAGCGTCCGCAGGATGGAGGTGGGCAGAGACCTGGAACGCACGCGAGCACATGTCAGCGATAAATAGCTGCTGACACAAATGGAACATGTGCAGCTTTTTAAGAAGGTGGGATCGAGTAACAGGCCCACAGCCATCGCTCTGGGCACTTTAGACCTCTTTCTTCTCTCCACTTGGGCTCTTCGTTGAGTCACTTCCATCAGGCAGGGTTCCACGGGATAAACCGTTTGAATCTGGTTGTATTTTATCCAGCGTTTGTTTCCCTGCGGAGATAGTAATCACACAGAAATCCTTCGAGCTCTCGTAGGAGCGTAAGGCTTCGTAATGTCTCCTCTCTATCTGGGCCACATTTAATTCTCCCTTTTTAGACGGGGTGGTCGCCCTCTAAGCAGGAGGGGAAAGGCCCTGGGGACCCCGTGCCCCTCGCCACGTGGTCAGCACCGCCCACGGGAGAGGGCAGTCTCCCCGCCCACGGAGGCTGCCACGCTGGGCACGGAGACTAGCCCGGGTTGGCCAGGAGGTGAACACGATGCATCCCCCCCCCCATCTCCAGAGCTTGCTCCCCAGAGTCCTGGCTCCTCTTATGTTGAGTCTAACGCACATGACTACACAGAAAGGCTTCTAACCGCCACCGATCCTATGCGTGGGGCTTTGTGAAACAAAAAGGAGTCTAACGCACATGACTACACAGAAAGGCTTCTAACCGCCACCGATCCTATGCGTGGGGCTTTGTGAAACAAAAAGGAGTTTAAAGTAAGTGAACTTTATTTCCTATTTGAGCCTCTGACCACACGGGTCACCACCTCTAATGCACACCTCGCCACGAACGCCAGCTCTTAATTCCCGCCCTGAACGCTCTTAGCCCACCAGAGGGCTCACGTGGGAAACAGAGCACAGAGTCCACGGGGCCGCGTGTTCCCAGTCGCGCGGATGAGGCTTTAAGGGCTTGTGCTTCAAAGGCGTGGTCCCAACAGAACGGTGGAGGAACCTGTGAGGACACCACGACTCCTGGCTAGGCCCCTACAGGTCACCCCCGACCCCTAGCAAAGCTGGAGATTGTGGAGGAGGGGAGGGTAGAAAGAAGGAAGGACACAGTGGAGGGTGTCCTTCGTCCTGGACATTGCTTCTGTGGGCCGCAGGACTAACGAGAGTGATCTCAGGGAAAGGAAGGAGCTAACCGGAAAGATGACGCAGGTTAAAGGGACCAGGGTGAACGAGGAGGGAAGAAGGAGGGGGAGAAGCCACTCATGGTCAGGGGTCTGGGGAGAAGGTCACTCTTAGCCTCACAGTGCACAAGCCGCCTTCCCCAGGGACAATGTTCCCCTCCTCCTCTTTCCCAGTTTAAGGAAACTCGGAGGAAATCGGCAACATCACCCAAATCAGGAGAACAAGGTCAGATCTTTTGTAGCTCCTGTTCTGTGCAAACCTGACATCCAAATAGATGAGCATTAGCACAGTTAATGATAATACCAGAGGTGATGATACCAGTGCTTATGTTTTGAAAATAATTGTTTTCCATGAATTTAACACCCTAAATCGGTGATCGGCAAACTGTGGCTCACAAGCCACATGCAGGTCTTGAGCCACAGTTTACTGTTCTGTTGACTGAGTTTGCCAACCACTGACCTAGTCTGATTCCAATAATTACAGGCTGTTGTAGCCGCATTTTGCCAACCACTGCCCTAAATAATACCAGCAATGATTAATTTATGAGGATAACATTTTCTATTGTAAATGAAAGAATATACACTTTTACCGGGAATAGTCCCCAGGTCAATGTAAGACTGTGGCAGATGTTCCTTCCCTCGATGTCTCGTGACCAAAAACACACCCAGGAATGACAGAGAACACCTGTAAGGAGAACAGAAACACAGAACGCTGAAACAGCGTGTGGTATTAAATAACAGCCCCCTATTCCACATGATGGCATACATTCCACTGGTTTTGTTCTTCCTGTTTCCCATGGTAAGCTGCCTAAAACTTGTCTTAATTGCTGCAGCCAATAATATTTGTCCTCAGAACCAAGCCCTGGAGAGCGTCCAACAAATCTCTGCCCCAGCTTTTCACCATCTGGAGGCTAATTCAGGCTCTAAACCCTTTGGGTAGACATTAAGTCTCATTTTCTGTCCATGCATGCCCAGACCCATTACTGGCATGCAAAACGAGCACACACACACAGAGAAAAAATAATTTATGCTTTAATTTTCTAAGAAATTTAGTTGTCCTTGGCCATAAGAACAGTCACAGTTTCCAGATCCCAGAAGTTTAGCCTTGCCCAAATATCTTATGAAATTGTGTTTTCAAGATAGATGGGTTTTCTATGCTGAGAGTAGTCTGGGCTCCAGTTTGCATAACAATAGTCATGCAGCATACCAGATGAAATGTCCATAGTACCCAACACAATCTACAGATTCAATGCACTCCCCCTGAAAATACCAATGGCATATTTCACAGACCTAGAACGAACTCTCCAAGAATTAATCTGGAATTAAAAGACCCCGAACAGCTGCAGCAATCCTGAGAAAGAACAAAGTAGGAGGGATCTCAATACCAGATATCCAGCTGTATTACAAAGGTAATGATGCGGGCTAAAGGGACCAGGGTGAAGGAGGAGGGGAGGAAGCCACTCATGGCCAGGGGTCTGGGGAGAAGGTCATTTTTAAAAAACTATATTTTATTGATTTTTTTTACAGAGAGAGGGATAGAGAGTTAGAAACATCGATGAGAGAGAATCATCAATCAGCTGCCTCCTGCACACCCCCTACTGGGGGATGTGCCCGCAACCAAGGTACATGCCCTTGACCGGAATCAAACCTGAGACCCTTCAGTCTGCAGGTCGACGTTCTATCCACTGAGCCAAACTGGTTTTGGCAGAAGGTCACTCTTGTCCTCACAGTGCACAGGCCGCCTTTCCCAGGAACGATGTTCCCTGGCCTCTGCCCTGTTCCTCCAATGCCCTCTGAGCTCCAGGGCTGTCTTGACTCCATTGTATGTTCTTGCCTCCTCTGTCAAATATTGAGCATAGACCCAAACCACTCTGCTCAATTAATATTTCACAAAGGAGGCAAGAACATACAATGGAGTCAAGACAGTGTCTTCAATAAATAGTGTAGGGGAAATTAGATACATGCAAAAAAAAAATATGAAACCACCAACTTATACCATACACAAAAAATAAACTCAAATGGATACGTAAACGTAAGATGGGAAACCATAAAAATCTTAGAGGAATCCACAGGGAGCAAAATCTCAGACATATGCCAATGCAATTTCTTCACCAATACAGCTCTTAGGGCAATGGAAACTAAAGAGAAAATAAACAAATGAGACTACATAACAAAAAGCTTCTGCACAGCAAAAGAAACCAACAAAACAAGAAAACCCACTGCATTGGAGAACATATTTGCCAATGTTATCTCCGATAAGGGTTTAATTCCAACATTTACAGGGAACTCATAAACAACCCAATCAAAAAATGGGCAATGGACCTAAATAGATAATTTTCAAAAGACGACATACAGAAGGCCAAGAGACATAACATATAAAAACATGTCCAAAGTCACTAATCATCTGAGCTATGCAAATCAAAATGATAATGAGGTGCCATCTCACACTTGTCAGAATGGCTATCATCAACAAACAAGTGCTGGTGAGGATGTGGAGAACAATATGGAGTTTCCTCAGAAAATTAAAAATGGAACTCCCATTTAACCCAGTGATCCCACTTCTAGGAATAAATCCCAAGAAACTAGAAACACCAAACAAAGGATACATGCACCCCTATGTTCATTTACCATAGCTAAGATTTGGAAAAGCTTAGGTGCCTGTCAACAGATGAGTGGATTAAAAACTGTGGTACATCTACACAATGGAATACTATGTGGCTGTTAAAAGGAAGGAACTCCTACCATTCGCAACAGCATGGATGAACCTGGAGAGCATTATGCTAAGCAAAATAAATCAGAGAAAGATAAATATCATATGATCTCACTCATTTGTGGAATATAATGAACATAAACTGATGAACAAAACAGATCTAGAGCTGAAGCCGGTTTGGCTCAGTGGTAGAACGTCGGTCTGCGGACTGAAGGGTCCCGGGTTCGATTCCGGTCAGGGGCATGTACATTGGTTGCGGGCACATCCCCAGTAGGGGGTGTGCAAGAAGCAGCTGGTCGATGTTTCTCTCTCATCGACGTTTCTAGCTCTCTATCTCTCTCCCTTCCTCTCTGTAAAAAATCAATAAAATATATATATTTTTAAAAAGCACCATTAAGCATTATTGGACTGCTATTTGGAACCAACAGATGATCCTATACCTCAGTGATCCTCTGTCAAAGTCCTGTCCTCTGCAAAGATGTCGGTAATGATGCCCAGCAATGAAGGGTTAAAGCTGGGCACCCAGATCCGGGAAAGGGATGTCACCAATCTGATGGCATTATGTCCAAAGCTAGATCTGCCCATCGTGGTCTTTTCTGCTAGGTGATCCTTGAGGTGTCCATGGTTCCTGTTTGACATCTAACCTAGGGCTCTCCAAGGGTGAGACAGGTCTGCTGTAGTATGAAAAGGCATGGAGTAGCTACAAGGAGCCAGTGGCTGGAACTGAAAGTCCCCAATGTTTCAGAACCCTCAGACAGATACCTACATCACAAAGTCAAAGTCACTGAGCCTTGTGTTGGGTGTGAAATTGAAAAACAGTTCCTTTAGGAGCCCAGGAGATGCTTGTCTGTCCTATAATTTTCCAGTTTTCTATGCCTCACGCACAATGCCAACAATCCTACATAAAAGTAATAGAACTTCAGACATTTACTCACCCAAAAAAATATATAAACATAGCGAGAAAAGCCGCACCCAGGAATTCCTTATAAAATATGATGCCTGCAACAGGAACAGAAGACAACATTTTAGGATAAGAATGTTTACAATAAACTGCACATTGGTTTTCAAATCAAGCCAATAGAGGAGGCCCCCTTTAGCCATGGCTTCTGTTACCCAGGGTCAAAAATATTAAAATCTATGAATTGTTTACTTTTGGGATTTTTCATTTAAGTTGCAGGCTGTCCTGAGTTGCATGAAGAAAACCCACACCCCAGGACATGAGGTATCCCTCTGTGCAGTATGGAGGGATATACACGTAGATAGCAGCCATCGTGGTTGTCAGGCTGACTATGTGGTTGTGCAGAGTCTGTGCTCAAGTCACCCTCCATTTACTTAATAATGGCCCCAAAGCACAGGAGGAGTGATGCTGGCAATGTGAACATGCCAAAGAGAAGCCAGAAAAATGTATTAATTAATTTTTAAAATTTGCCCACTGGCAGTCACATTGTTTGCCATGAAGTAAAAAAAAAAAAAAAAAAAAGATGAGCCGATTAGGAAACAGATAATGCGCTACCTACCTCCAAAATACAGGCATTTTTGCAACAGGAAATGAAATCTCAATATTGGTGAATTCATCCAATGAGCCAAAGACCAAACAGTAGGAGTGATGTATTGGTTCTACTGTATTTGGGTTGGAACCAAGTTTAAATTTCATACTTTTTAAAAAACACCGTTGTGTCTGACATATTAAAAAACTGTCCATAGCCAAAACTGATTTGGCTCAGTGGATAGAGCGTCTGCCTGCAGACTGAAAGGTCCCAGGTTCGATTCTGGTCAAGGGCATGTACCTTTGTTGCGGACACATCCCCAATAGGGGCTGTGCAAGAGGCAGCTGATCGATAATTCTCTCTCATCGATGTTTCTAACTTTCGATCCCTCTCTCTTCCTCTCTGTAAAAAAAAAGATCAATAAAATATATATTAAAAAAAACAGAATGTAATAGTAGAAAAATAGAGGCTAGCATAGCAAAAGCAGTAATTTCTGTTCTCATCTGTCTGGCCTTCCTCAAACACTGGGCTGTTTTGGGCCCTCTCTCTGATCAAGGTGGCAAAGGCCAGAGAGGGAAGAGTTAATGGACCTGGGATGTTTGGCCCGAAGACAAGACACAAGAGGACCCTTCCACTGCTCTCATCACCAACAGGGCTGGCAGAGGGAAGACTTCAGAAAGCAGAACTAAGATGAATGCCTTGAATTCACAGGGAGGCTAATTGCTGTCCAATATAAGGAAATCATTTCTAACAATTAGAGCTCTCCAAATAATTAGAGTAATTTAAAACGGCTCTGAGCTGTCTTGGGAGGCAGAGAGCCTTGGAGAGCATTCGCTGACACAGTAGAAGAGCATTCCTAGGCTGAAATCTGTTTGGCTCAGTGGATAGAGTGTCAGTCTGAACTGAAAGGTCCCAGGTTCGATTCTGGTCAAGGGCATGTACATTGGTTGCAGGCACATCCCCAGTAGGGGGTGTGCAGGAGGCAGCTGGTCGATGTTTCTAGCTCTCTATCCCTCTCCCTTCCTCTCTGTAAAAAAAAAAAAAAAAAATCAATAAAATATATTTTTTAAAAAGAGAGAGAGCGAGTGTTCCTAGACCTGTGGTCAGTAAACTGCGGCTCTCGAGCCACATGCAGCTCTTTGGCCCCTTGAGCGTGGCTCTTCCAAAAATACCATGGCCTGGATGAGTCTATTTTGAAGAAGTGGCATTAGAAGAAGTTTACGTTTAAAAAATTTGGCTCTCAAAAGAAATTTCAATCGTCGTCCTGTTGCTATTTGGCTCTGTGGACTAATGAGTTTGCCGACCACTGTTTTAGAGGGTGTTATGGAAGAAACTCAGACACTGTGTGAGACTGGGAGGATATGGGTTACACAGATCCTGGTAACCGAAGGATTCCTTGATTTTCTTACATGCCTGTTTTGGGGGTAGAACACCTGAGTACAGAAAGCCAAAACTCACCTGCAATAATGGCACTGGTTGTAAATAAAATGTGGTTCACGGGCACCACCGCCACTGTACTGTAGAGTTTCGTGGCTTGACTCAGGAACCTAGATCAGAAGGCACTTACTGATGCTCTGGCTTTAAGAGATGCTGGGCAATAAGTTAACAATAACATCGAGAAATGCATGTTCTTCAGCTACAACTACAAAGGGAGAGGAAGTGCAGTAAAAGGGCATTTCCAATCAGCAGTCATAGCGTATATGCATCTGATGTATGAGATCAGATGTCAGGTTTTATGGTCTGTTTAAACCAACAACAGTAACAATGAAAAGCAATTAATCATATTCTGAGGCCACAGAAGTTTGAGTTGGAAGCAATTCAAGCTGCTGGACCGGTATCACACTGCGGCTGATTCATTACGATAGGCCCTAGAATCTGTTAAATATCATATCGAGGGAATAGTATAGCTTATGCCTTGACATGCCACGTGCCAAGAAAGAAGATGGAGAAGGAAAAGGAATGTTTAATGTTTCAAAAACAATGCTTAGGGCTCCAGCTGCAGAGCACATGTGGGAACTCGGCTTCTCACTTTGGCCACCAACCGAATTCAGGTTCCTGCACTGAGCAGTGCTGCCCGCCAGGGACTAGAACATTCTCTAGAGCAGTGCATTGCACTGACATCACCTGGGTGCTTTCAAAAAGCATGAATGCTTAGGTCCTCTTCTTAAGCAATGGAAAAAATAATTTTTGTGGGCAGAGCCCAGGTATGCCTATGCAAGTATATACATGCGTACATGTGTGTATATACCTATACACACATATATGTGGATTAAGCCTCCTCAGGTAATTTTAATGGGCAAGCCAGAGCTGAAAGCCACAGTTCTACAGTTCCACTGTGTTCACACAGCTCCAGTGTGCAAGGTGCAGGGACCGAAACAAGGGCAATAAGAATGCAGTTTACCTGTGCCGTATCTACCTTTTAAATTCATCAAGCAGAGGTCAAGGATCATGATGCTAATCGTTACATGCTAAAAGGTAGCAGAGCAGCCCTGATTAATTTAGAAGAAGAGAAGAGACAAAACAAGCAAGACTCAAGTACTGGAAACACACTCAGTCTTATAAGGAAATGACTAATGAAACGGTGACAAAACATTGGTTTCTCCAGTAATTGTCCGCACTCCCAGTTACAGGGCCTATGGCCAACCCATGACAATGAGGCTTGACTTCTAGGACTAAGAAAGGAACCGATCCCTTCCCGAGTGTGGGCTCTGACTTCCTCGCTGGCGCTGGGATGGTGGTGGCTTTGCATAGCGTTTTGGGGGTAAACAGAAGACTTTCTGGTTGATTCAAGAGCCTAGCAGGCAAAGGCATCCTCACCATGTGAGATGCAGGGGAAGCTATTGGAGCAGAGGGGTGGCAGGGAGGAGAGATAGAGGGGGGGGGGAGTGGAATAGGCGGGGTAGCAGAAATTAAAAATGTTCCATGTCACCACTATTAGGCCCCAAGAGAAACATAAAACAATCATTCCACAATCCCTTGGGTACGAAGCAAATTCTGGCGAGAGATACAAAGTTCTGGGGAAAGGATTTCCCTCCCGGCCAAACGTCTGGTTTTGTCCATCTCTGGGCAATTAATGAGCATGAGCTAAGAAGCGAAGGTGAAGGGTTCATGTATTTCCTATACTTAGAAATGAGATCTGGATGTGGACCTGCCCCTTTGATTTATTGCTAATGACAACCTGTGTACGGTGGATATTAATTACAAGCAGAAGAGCATCAGGAAAGTATCAAAGTGCACTTAGCTGGATTATGGCTGCACTTTAGAGCTCACAAGATGTGAAGGCAGCGCTCAGTAAAAACGTCTTATTGGATGTGAAGGATATTGCAAGGCATGTTAGCTGAGGATAAGCTGTAGACCCTTCACCCTTCTAAATCAGTTGCATCTAATTTTAATTATCATCTGAAGCCAAGAAAGACGGACGCTCAGGGAAGCACAGGAATGCTGAGAGATGGGTGAGGACATGGGAGCTAACTTACTTGACTTGGAAAGCACAAGATGCAATCATGATGATAAGCATTATATAGAAGATGGGATACGTTAGCTGTATCTTATCCGTCACAGAAAAAGTGATCATGCCTGAGACAGCTTTCACGGAAATAACAGTCAATGAGGCTAAAAAACAAAACAAAAACAAAAAAGGACACAAATAAAACACATGCCTGAGACAGGATCAGAAATAAATACCGGAAGCGTACATGGTACAGGGGTCCATACCCCACTTATGCGTTAAGCATGAAGACTCGAGCTAAGCAGTAGCCCTGGTGCCTAAGCTGGGCTGGGCATCAGATTGGCTTCTATCAGCTGAAGATCTGCCATGGGACTGTGCTTTTTATCTTTGCAGCAAGATGCTTATTTTCCAGCCGTAACTGTCGAAAGGATGCTATAGAGGTTATGATTACTAATAGACAGGAAAGGAGAAAACAGCGAAGGGAGAAGATAAGAAAAGTCAGATTGTCCACGTGTCATTAATGGGAAAATAACTATGAAGCTATACCGAAAAAAATGTGAAGCCAAAGAGACGAGAAGACCGAAAAGTGAAAAGCAACCCACTCTGTGAGTTGGCTAAGAGTTGTACTTAGTCTATGCATGAACCCTTTGTTAATAAATGCCTAGAAGTCTCATTAAAAAAAATTTTTTTGAGGAAGACACTAATAGGAAGGAGGACCAGAGCTGAGGATGCATTTCTCAGAGTCAACCGTAACTCTAAGATTTACATAAGCATGTTTACACATTTTCTATGCTGAAGAGGAACCTGCCCTTTATGGGAACACATTTTTCTTAGTTTCCAAATAGCAATGAAGAAAAAGTGACCTGACAAGGTTATATCAATGTGAATGCAATGAAGCATTTTCTGGAAACACTGAAGAAGACAGGGCTTCCTTTTTGCCTAGATCCCTTGAAATACATTACTTATGGTTCCACAAATTAGCTGAAAGCTACAGAAAAATTGAGTTTTACATGAAATCAAACATAATTATCGGTCAAAGGCAAGGGGAAAGAGAAATACTGTTTTTGTTGCTGCTGATATCTGGTCATAATATATCTGAACTTTACTCCTTTTAGTTTCTGAAAAGGAGATATATATATATATATATATATATATATATATATATATATAATATATATATGATGTGTTTAAAATAGCAGGTGAAGTGTTCCAACCAGAAAAAGCCTTCCAGAATCTCCTTTTCCAAAAACCGAAAGTATACTTTAACTTGAAGGGTACTAGGGCACACTTCCAAATTAGGCATTTTCTTTCTGTTATAAGTCACACTTAACAGAGGAGACCTGGTAATAAATTCTAAAAACAAACCGCCAATCCCAAAAAGGAGGCCCTTACAACTGGGCACCTCTCTTCATTTTAAAATGTCTTTTGACCTGACCTTTCACATATTTTCTACAGAGTGTGACAACAGTCATATAATATCTCAGCGAATCTAGGCAATGTCAAGTATCTACTGAGATGTGTGTTACTTGATGGTTTAAGTTTGTAAAGTTAGCTCTTGAGGGACCCTGATTTCCTCCTAACCCCATTGCTTGTAATTAGAGCACAATGTGATTATGGCCCTGTGGTCTGAATAGCTTGGATTCCCAAAAGGATGGCTGATGGAGAAACAGCTGAACACACTGCTCCATTAGCCGCAGAACCTCAGGACTGCCAAAGCCCTGAAAGGTCACCGACTTTTAAAAAATCATCTAATTCAACCGCCACCTGATGTTAAATTATACTAAACACAAAATAAAAACAAGAGTGGAATTCTTTACCAAACAGCTAAACCAACCAGTAGTTGCTAGAGGTGATCACTGCATTTTCAAAGCATGCACAATCACCAACTGATTAATCACTATTAATTATAACTCTGAAAGTTACTTCTAGACTGGTATCAAGTTCTTCTAAGATGTTATTTTGGTGGGGGGAGGGTGGTTGATGAAGACAGATGAAAATACAAAACTGTAATGCAGTCTCACTCTAATATTGTATATATAAAAATAAAATATTATGCAGAAAAAAAGATTAGAAGAATCTACATACTCTAGGTAGTGGGATTATGAATAAATTTTAAACTAATTTTTTAAAAACTATACAAATACACATGTTCGTTTAAGAAAACTTAGAAAACGCAGAAAAGCCTGAAAAGAAAAATGAAAATCACTTATAACCTCAACACTCAACTCCAGGTCATTCTTAACATGGGGGAGATACTTTTGTAGTTATTTTTCTATCTTTATATTTTTCAATTATTTCCAAGAAAAAAATGCTAAGTATTCGGAGAGCAAATATAATGACCAAAAAGTAAAAAAATTGTTAAATATATTTTTAAAGAATTAAATGTATATCAATTTTAGTAATAGACATGCAAAGTCTAGTTTACATAAATGAGACTCAGTTTCTTTCTATAAATCAGAGTTGAAAAATAGAAACAGTGAGAAAGGAACAGAATGCTCAAGTATTTTTCCTTCAAATCTTTCTGACTTAGCATGGCCTGATTACAAAATTAGGAAACAAAACACATCCTTACCTAGAAGTGCCACCAGGGTTAGTAGAATCGCAATGTGCGTCATCCCTTTTCTTTTATAGAAATATAGGAGAACGCAGAAAATTAGTATTTCTGAAATCTGGAAATCAAACAAAAGAGTCAAGTATAAATTATTTTATACAAAGTCTTCAGAATGTCACATTTCTTTGATTTTGCAAGTTATGAGAATTGGTGAAGCGACTAGAATCCCTAAGGACAATTATAAACATGGGAAAACATTACTTAAAACCTCTGCTCAACCACAGGCTTCCATTTCTCACCGGATACGGGGACCACAGTTCCCACTGATGGAGAGAAGCAAGCTCTTTCTCACTTATACAGAGCATGGTAGCTGAATGGATGAGCATGCCGACTGTTAATTTTTGGGTGGGATGGGGCTGGGGGATGAGGGTCATTATCAGTTCTAAAACTCATGTATGACTTTTTGTAAATCCGCTTCTGAGGTTTCAGATAAATAAAACACGAGTTCCTATTATTCATAGAATGACTGCAGTTGCCCTGGGTCCTGTCTTATGTTAAGACGTCATGGCGCTCCCAGGAATAAAATATTTAAACAGCATGAATTAATGTTAATTTTTTTCTAGCAACATTTTCCCCCCTCTGTGAAAATATCAATATTAAAGAAGCTGTGATTTCTGCAGGTTGCTGCAACCCACAAAGAGGCTGCTTTGCTGCTATCTGAGGTCAGAAATAATAACAGTGCTTCCTGCATGCTCACCACATGCTTCAGTTGTATTAATTCATGGAGCCCTCACCGCAACCTGTGGAGTGGCACTCTTACTATCCCCATTTTACAGATGGGGAAACCAAGGCTCAGAGGGGTTTTGCTGGCCTGGCAGAAGAGCAGTTATCATTACTGTAGTTATGGTCTTTGCAGTCATGGTTTATATTAATAGAAAAAGAACAGAATCTGCCACATCTAAGGATTAAATATTAATTATTTAGATGTTAACAGATTTAAACCAAACTTTAGCTCAAGATCTTAGTATGTAATGGGTAAGTTCTAGTCTTTAGAGATGCAACATCTAACAGGTTAAATTTCAAACTAGCATAATATAGATCTATTTCCCTTAGAGTCTAATGCCAATAGTGTTATTTAAACATGACTTTATTAAAGGTTTATTTTATGCTATCTTATAAATATCTGGAATTATATACATTTTTGGTGCATTTACTTTCAAATGTATTTTTATGGGACTATGGATCTCTCCCAGGACTGTGAAATTTCTGCTACAAAAATTCCCCTCTCTCTACTCAGAACGACTAATAAATTGAGTTGATTTTGGAAAATAGTAAAATGCACTTAATTTCAGATTTTTTTGTGGGTGGAAACATAAGGTTTAATAAAAGTAGCCTTAGTCTTTTAAAACGTTTTCTCTGGTGTTAAAACAATATAAGATACATCATCATCAAACAATGCTGCTTATTCCCCCCAAAATAAGTCTTGATGCATCTTTAATCTCCAAAGGATTTAACTTGGGCTATTAAACTTCTGATCATAAACTATGGGACCCTTTTCTCACTGGATGGACAATTTGTTTTGCCTACAGACAAAGAATAATATGTGTTGGTAGGACTTCAAGTTTAGACTCTCATGAAGTACAGAACAAGTCCTTCTAGTTCTTAGATTTGATGGATGACAGCTGCCGTAGTTCAAGGACTGGGTATGGTGAACAAGTAGGAAGATACAATGGGGTGGGTAGGCAGGAGACACAGAGCCTAACAGACTGAGGAAGGCTGACCTGGGTTGGGAAGCCCAGTCCTAAAGGCTGATGGAGGGCAGGGGTTAGGGGAGCCTTCCAATATGAGAGAGGAGGGAGTTGAGGGGAGTAGATGGTGTGTTCAGTTTTTAAGATGCTACATTTGAAGGACCTCTGGGACATCTATGCAGGGTAGAGTAATCAAGGGACAGATGAGAACATAGATGTGCAGCTCGGAAGAGGCCTGGAGAGAACTATAGGTCTGAGGTTGGAAGTCCTTCCAAAGAAGGATGGTGGGTGGGCAATGAGCTCACCCTAGGAAACCCTGGTTGAATATGTAGCATGAATAGGTAAGAGTGGTTGGCAGAAGAGAAGGAGGTGACTATCAAGAGTCTGGGACGGGCCGAAACTGGTTTGGCTCAGTAGATAGAGTGTCGGTCTGGGGACTGAAAGGTCCCAGGTTCGATTCTGGTCAAGGGCATGTACTTTGGTTGCGGGGACATCCCCAGTAGGGTGTGTGCAGGAGGCAGCTGGTCAATGTTTCTCTCTCATCGACATTTCTAGCTCTCTATCCCTCTCCCTTCCTCTGTGTGGAAAATCAATAAAATATATTTAAAAAAAAAAAAGAGTCTGGGGCAGAAGAGTTGGAGAAGAAGAGGAGAAAGAGGGAAAACAAACTGAGGAAGCAGAGAGGCGAGCAGTTTGAGACGATGATGGGTCACGAGTCAATGCTGCTTAAGGTGCAAGAAGAATTAGGTTCCCACCTCACCCCCCCAAAAACAAAACAAAGCAAAACAAAAGAGAGAGAGAGAGAGAGAGAGAGAGAGAGAGAGAGAGAGAGAGAGAGAGAGAGAGAGAGAGAGAGAGAGAAAGCAATTGCATTTGGCAATTTGTGGGGAGGGATCGACTAGATCAGCGGTCGGCAAACCGAGGCTCTTGAGCCACATGCGGCTCTTTGGCCTTTTGAGTGTGGCTCGGTGTTAGAGGCATGTCTTCAAAATAGACTCGCCCAGGCCAAAAATCGACTTCTGTGCACGGGCCACGAAGTTTCAATTGCACTGTATGTGCGTGCCCGCACGTGGTATTTTGTGGAAGAGCCACACTCAAAGGGGCAAAGAGCCGCATGTGGCTTGTGAGCCGCGGTTTGCCGACCACGGGCCTAGATTATAACAAATGGTGAGTAGGAGCTGAGAAAACAGAGGGGAATAAGTGGTGGTGAGTGGAAGAGAAATACGATTTTATTAAAGGTTGTGTAGTATGTGAAGATTTTAAAACAAAAACAAAAACAGAGGAATCTTTGAATTCAGGGAAGAAAAAGGGGTCTTCAGGTACCTCCCTTTGGACTTGGAAGAGAGGGTTTTGGGGGGTTTGTTTGTCTGTTTTTACTCTGAGTTTTCCTAAAACACGATGCTCTGAAATGTGCCAGATTCAATGTTGTGGAAATTGTTCCAGTCACGGTCACCCTCAAAGATGGGCTACCTGGGAAATGGGGATGTCTATTGCTGAGTTAGTGTTTCAAATGCTTCCATGTTGGTCAAATACCTCTGCACTGTAATGAGATATTAAGGATGAGAAGGAAAGACTGTGTTAGTTCTCCAACATCTGCAGCTACCAGCAGTCTAGATAACATATTAATAGCTGCGCCATCGTAATTAGAATGCTTACCACATAGACCAGGAACTGCCAGCCAACAAAGTAATTCTTCACTGTTCTTCCAGAGATAGCCTGGGATATGTTTGGAGCAAAGTTCACCAACAAATAGGACCCTGCAAAGGCCAGTGTCATACCTTTAAGCAAAACAGAAAGGGCAAAGCAAGTTGAAAAGAGACTTTTTAATCTTTTGTTGATGTAAACATTCCCTATAGACTGAGCATTACTTGTAAAGGTGCTGACAGTCCCGCCCTATTCAAATAGAATTCAACAACCATCCCTAGATAGCAGCACACATTCACCTGATAGCATTACCTTTCAAAAGGGATAAGGGCTCTGGCTGGTGTTGCTAACTGGTTAGAGCACTGGCCCGAACACCAAAGGGTCACGGGCGGGTTCATTCCTGGTCAAGGGCACATACCTAAGTTGCAGGTTCGTTCCCTCACCCCAGTGAGGGAGCATGGGAGAGGCAACCAATTGATGTTCCTCTCATATCAATGTTTCTCTCTCTCCTCCTCTTTCCTTCCACTCTCTCTAAAAAATCAATGGAAAAAAATATCCTCGAATAAGGATTAACAACAACAACAACAACAAAAAGGGGGGTGGGGAGAGATAAGGGCCAGGGAATGGATGGGGCAGGACATAACTTGTGATTTTTCTCTGTTGTTCCAGATAGATCCTGGCCTAAGCAATGAAGTGTTCTGCTAAGATGGGGAAGATCAGAACATGTGCATATGGAGATATGAAAACCCAACCACGCTGGCTATTTGTGTACTTATGGGCGAGTCAGTGCAAGATGGACCTGGATTTAGGTTTCGATGGCAGAGCCCAGAGGGTGGGGAGTCCATCACGTGCCATTTACTCTACACTCTACTCATCTTGGGAGCCTTACACACATACACACACACACACACACACACACACACACACACACACACGCGCGCGCGCACGCGCGCACACACACACACACACACACACAGGTGATTTTACACTTAGAAACTCTGGTAAATGAGCATCTTAATCATTGCCACTTTTTTTGGAGCTCCTTTAGCAGAAATCATGAAGGTGAACACTGACTTTGCTCTAAGATTTATCTAGTCCAATTTAGTATCTAGAATTCCAGGCATAGCTGAGTAAAACATCACATAATAAACCTATGAGAGGAATGTGTTACTGTCATCACTTTAATGTTACTTAAAATAATAGAGGAAGGGCATGTGTTGGGGGAGTGGCCATGGATGGAAGGGTAAAGGATGGACACTGCCAAATAACACCGAAAGCTACTTATTTGTTAATAATTAGCAGCCTGAGAAAAAGTGACAATCGTAGCATTTTTCAGGTAGCACCCTTGAAAACATAAGTCAGCTCGCTCTGACACTGAGGTCGGCATTGTTCTGTACATAATTGACAACCAGCATTGACTCCAACCCGAAACAATTTGATTTGCTGATAAAACCTCACACTTTGAAGACACCAGTTTCCTCTTCTTCTTGACCAAATGATTTATGACTTTGAACTCTAGTTTCTGAGAACAAAGAGCATTGGATTTTTCACACAAGCTAAATAATAGCTGTTGATGAATCAGGTTTGGCTCAGTGGTAGAGCATAGGTCTGCGGACTGAAAGGTCCCAGGCTCGATTCCGGTCAAGGGCATGTACATTGGTTGCGGGCACATCCCCGGTAGGGGGTATGCAAGAGGCAGCTGGTTGATGTTTCTCATCGACATTTCTAGCTCTCTATCCCTCTCTCCTCCTCTCTGTAAAAAATCAATAAAATATATTTAAAAATAAATAAATAAATAATAGCTGTTCAGGATACTGTAGAAGCTATAAAATAAGTTTTATCGAAGTAACAATAAATTCTGTAATGCTCTGTGAAGACAGAAATTATATACACAACTTTAAAAGCTATTTCTAGTGAGATTTTAAAAATAAAAAATACATTATTAAGCATTGTAATAAAAGGAAAATAATAAACACCATCTATAAGAACGTCCTTTCTTTAGGAATAAAAAATTCTTTTATAGTTGTTCAATATTAGGTTTCTAGGAAAAAGGGTTTAATAAAAATAGTTTTGTAAACTTGGTAAAGTAGAATAAAAGCACTGAATGTGATTTAGAAGTCTCAGAGTCTTCCAACTTTCTTTTGTGAAATCCAAATTTCTTGTTTATATTGAGTTCCTCTGCCAGCTATTTCTTTATCTCATTTAACTGTATCTAGTGTCCTTTACATTTCTCTCTAAAAATTTACTTTTGGATGGGTAACATATGTATATGGTAGAAAATTCAAAAGCACACGAGGGTGATGCATGAAAATTAAATCTCTCTTCTACCCTGATGCCTCCATCAGTTCCAAGTTCTTGAGGTTTCCTTTTTTGAGATACTTTATGCATGTGTATATGTTGGGGTGTATGGCTTTTGGATTTCTTAGACAATATTATCCACGCTCTTCTGTACTAGTATGCATTTTATTTCTAATCAACAGAACATTGTGGAGAATGTTTCAGTATAGGTATGGCAGCCTCATCCTCTTCGAGTCCGCATAGTATCCCATTATACGGAGGTTGTGCTACTTATTTAATTTTCCTATATGGTCCCATGTCACATCCTGACACAATCCCTCTCCCCCACATTTCATCTGTTTCCACATTTGTCTACTGTTCCCATTTATACCAATGTAGATCTTCACTGCATTTCAAAACTCCTTAAAAAAACAAATAAAATGACTAATGATTCCACAATTATACACTGAGTGGCCAGATTATTATGATCTCTGAATGCATAATAATCTGGCCACTCAGTGTATATCCTATATAATAAAAGGCTAATATGGAAATTGTTCCCTCGACCAGGAGTTCAACCAGCAGGCAGGCCGGCTAGCTGCCCATGTCCCCTCCCCGTGGCCAGGCTGGCTGGACCCCACCCATGCACGAATTCATACACCAGTCCGTATAAACATAATTCTAAATGTTTTATATATAACTTAAACCTTACAATAAAACTGTGAAAAATAATTATACTATTAAATTATTATATAATACTATTATAACATGTACTATATGTATATTATATGTATATACATAATATCTCTATATATAAAAGGTCAAGTGACTGTCCATCCATTTGATTGGCCGGTACATATGACATGCACTGCCAATCTATATATATAAATGGCCAAGTGACTGACAATCTGTCCATCTGACTGACCGTCTGGTACATATGATGCACAATGGCTATTTAAAAATAAACGACTCATGCATGCATGATACATATAAAGCTCTTGCTGGTGCCAATCGCACGTGTGTTTTAATTTTATAATACCATATTATATATACTATTTTAACATATAATTTTTTGTAGTAATGTAATTACTGCATGAATCTTTCTTCTAATATCCTTTCAATGTGCACGAATCTGTGCACAGGGCCACTAGTAACATATAATATTGTATAAAACTATTACTGTCCCTATTGAGCATCTGAGGATATGGAGTCAAAGAGGGAATGATTGTCTTATCTGGAATTTTCTAGTTAAGTGGAGAGTGTGGATTGGAACCCAGGTAGTTACTTAATGATCACTCTCTCCTGCCTCTTGTATGCCAGAGCCAATGCATGGGACAACTCATCCCTGCCATTGTAGTCTCAGCAAGTGGCAGCTAGGAGCTGCACAGAGCATGACAGAGGAACTGACTATCATGGCAGTGCGCCTGGCTGGCCTGAGGTTCCTTCAGATGAGCTCTCCAAACTGGAACCCGTTCCATAAGGTGGACACTCCACCAAGAGAGGTCCCACGTCAGACTGATTTGGGAGGAGAAGGCGAGTTCAACCAACTTCGATGGTTCTTTAATGGAAAAAACCTCGGATCCTCAGTGCCTTAGTGTTCGCTGTGAATCTCCTCCAGGAGGATATGGTTGTGATATTTCTAAACATATCTGACCATTAATATCATCCTGAAGTAGAGCTTTGCGGAATATTTTCTACTTTGGGAAACGTCTGACATTTAACTGGATGCAGCTGTGCGGCCCGTTGCAGGAGGCGCCGCCCCAGCCTAGAAGAACTCTCGGGCTGAGGATGCAGCCCAAGTGGTTGGAGGGAAAACAGCCTCGAATCGGAGTGATGCTTCCGTTCACTGGCACCTCCAGCTGCTGTGTCCGCTACGCAAGCCCTGGGTCCGAGATCTGCGGCCCCATTCTTCCCCGGCTGACATCCGGGTTCCCAGCCCACCCGTCCTCTTAAGCAAAACCTGAGATCTCCTTTAATGGGTCTCTACCCCAATTAATCTATTTCAGTTGGTTTCTATCCCCAGCTCGAGGCCAACGGGTGTTAACTGTCTGTCGCCTAGCTTCTGGCATTTGACTTGACCTTACTTCTGGCCTTCAGAGTTTTTTCAGATCCAGCTGAGCCCGACTCCAATGAAGATTGATGGCAGACTCTCTTGATCCTGGTCCTATGTCTCCTGACCAACAGAGGTCCAGCTATTCCTTTTGTGGGATACCAGGAGTCACGGTATAAACTGGTTCCTGAATACCCCGTGGGACATGCTCTCCAGATCCTCGGGCTATGGCCATGAACCCTTGAAGGAGGTCTGGACCAAGACGTCTCAAAAATGCCGGGAATGCGGGGTCCTGAACCTGCCATCGGAAAACCTGCCATTCAAAGCCCAAACAGCCACTCTGTCCTCTCAACCAGAGATAACGGCCTGTGTGGCTAGATCCGTACTCCAGACACTGGCCCCACACAGGCTGGCCTCTGGTGTGGAGGAAGGAAGCGGGAGATGGTCCTCATCTCACAGTGAAGTTCTTGACATTCTGTCTGGGGAAGCCATTCATGGGTGACTTGAAGTCAATACGTGACTAGTCTCTGGAGAGAGCTGATGAATGGGCTTCAGTTTTTATTTTTATGATAAGTATCTGGAATAAATCAGCGAGGATCTCCCAGACGATTAGATTCCATACTTTTGATGACAAAGGGAGAAGAGAGGGGAACATACTATCATTTCTTGGCTGATTAAAGGAGAGAGAAATCTGGTGCTTTAAAAAAAAAAAAAAGGAAAAAAATCATTAAACTAATTTAAAGCTATTAATCCACTGAGAATCAGAACACAGGCCAAAGCTTGTCATTGAGTTAATAATAGTTGGCGATGCTTTTCAGACATAGCTTTTGTGAGGTCATTTTTTTTTGAGGCCAGTGGTGAAAAGCTTCACAGTCACAAAGCCACATTTGGCAATAAATTAGTTCAGCTTGTTCCCACATGGTCCAGAAATCTTCATTTGTTCCATCCTGAAAACAAACTGCCATTTGCTTCGAGCAGGGAAAAATAAGTGATTTTTCTTTTGCACATTTTGACAATTTAATTTTTAGCATGCTTATATGTTAATCTTTTTTTTTTCTTTAAAAAGTCACTATTCTTTCCCTTGTTTGGTTTTAGGCTGTGTAAAGGGGGGAAAAAAATGCATTTTTTAGCTTCTACCAGAAAGTGCCAAATGTGCTCAAGGCAACAGCAATACAGGACAAAAGAAAAGCATGTGACAACACGCTAAGTGAGGCTGAGGGAAAACCTTTTCCTAAGCCTGAGGTGGGTGACTACACTTCAGATCACGATAGCATATGATACCGCTGTTGGAGACGTGGGTATGGAATCGGTGACTAAATCCTTCCTTATTCTTATACTGGATGGAAGTTAAGAATTAACCAGTTTTGCCAGCTGGCATGGCTCAGTGGTTGAGTATGGACTTATGAACCAGGAGGTCACAATTGGATTCTGGTTGGAGCACATGCAGGCTCAGTCCCCAGGAGAGCAGCCAATCAATGATTCTCTCTCATCATTGATGTTTCTTTCTCTCTGTCCTTCTCCCTTCCTCTCTGAAATCAACCTATCTATCTATCTATCTATCTATCTATCTATCTATCTATCTATCGATCGAGAGAATGGACCAGTTTTAACTAGAGTATGCAACAAATATGCTATCAGTGATATAGCCCTACTAAAAAGCATCAAGTTAGGAAGGCAAAAAAAAGAACCCCAACCAGAGCTATGGGAAATAACACCTGGGTTGCTAAAGTGTGCAAAGATATCCTAATCTGGTTTCTTCTGCTGAACCAGTAGAGTGCAGTGGTGGCTGGGGTGGCTGTGGGAGTGAGGATAATGATACTATGGGATAGGCCCATACTAAGAGTTTTTCATACATGAACTAATTTAACCCTATGAGGTAGGTAATATTATCTTCATTTTAAAGATGAGAAAATTGAGACTTCAAGTCAGGAAGTAACTGTGCCAAGGTCACACAGCTTTCTTACAAGGGACACACACCTGAGCTTTTGCCCTGTAGTGCTACCTGGCTGCCAGTAGGGGTGTACTGGCTCACCACTTGCTAGTCCTATGACCTTGGGCAAGTTATCTAACCTAAGTAACCAGTTCTGTAAGTGGGTTGATTCCTACATTTAAGTGGGATAGCTCATTTAGGACATTTATAATACATGGAAAGAATAAATATTTAATAAAGTATTGTTATTAAAATAAGAGAAATTACTGAAGGATTAAAAAACTAATAGAGGTTTTACTTTGGGGTGTGTGTGTGTGTGTGTGTGTGTGTCTCCTATTCCTTTTTAGTATTACCTCTTGGGCATAAAGTTGGCTACACAAATGATGACAATGAACAGGGCTTTACATTTTTCAAGTTGTTTTAAGCGAATGACACAATTTGATCCTTAAAACAGTCTCTAATACTTGTCAGCCAACAGGCTTAGAGAAGTGAAGTCATATGCTGGCCACACAGTTGACAGCAGAAGCTGAGTCCAGATCTGAACCCACGAGAGTGAGTTCAATTCATATCCTTTGATGCTGAGCCAGTTAATTGCTGTTAGTAACGCTTAGTTGATTTTGGGTTTTCAAAGTATATGATCAAACCACCTGCACTGATGGATACTGATCTTCTTCTCTTCCACAGTTTGTGACTAGCATTTATTCTTCCCCTGAACAGTGGTTTTAGTACAGTACCGAACAGAAACTTACCCTTTTGCACCTCTGTTAATACTTCTCATGTGATTCCCTCTGTATGCCCTCCTCCCAGTGCTTGGGTGTGGCCCTTGCCTGTCCTACCCAGCCATCAGAGAGGACTCAAATGTTACCTCTGCTGTCAAAAGTTCTCTCTGAGCTTCCCAGTTACAGTAATCTCCCTTTACCCTAAACCAGCGGTTCTCAACTGGGGGCGATTTTACTCCCCTTTCCCCCCTGCCCGGGGGACATTTGACAATGTTTGAAGTCATTTTTGGTTGCCATGACTATTGCAGAGGGCTCTAAGGGCATCTAATGTGTCAAGGCCAGTAGGGATGCTGCTAAATACCCTATGAGGCACAAGACAGCCCCCTACAAAGAGGGAGTAGCCAGCGTAAAACATCAGCAGTGCCGAGACTGAGAAACCCTGTTCTAAACTAAAGCTTTAGGCCTTAATGGTACATATTATTTCCTGCTTTTAGAAAACATTCAACTGTATTGTTTGAGGGCACAGAATCTGTCTTAATTAGTCATCTTTTTACCACGAATATTCACCACAATTAAGCAAGTCTCCCTTTATATCTTATATCTTATTGCTTCATTAAATATCTTAGATTGACTTAAACATTAATCAACCATTAATTACAAATGATGGTATATTTCCAACAAAATGATGTAAAGTTTCCTGAAGACATTGCATCAATGAGAAAAAGGATGTAGGGCCTAACGTTTTTAATTTATAAAACGCATTCTTATTTCTGATTTGGACAACTTCCCCAAATGATTGCACAAACCATCATCTATTTAAAAAAAAAAAACAACATAGAAAAAGAAGATATTTGACAAGATGCAGTTACAGATGAACAGCATTTGGGAAGACATTTTAACCATGAAAAATGTGACAATGTTAACTAAAAATTCGAGTAGCAGAATCCCAGTGAGGAAGAGAGGAGCAGCGCCAGCCCTGTCCCCACACTCGCTCCCAGGAAACACGACCAGAGACAACAAAGGCCCAACATAGCAACGCCGGAGTCACAGCCAAAGCTCACATTGTAAAAGCAAATGTGATCTCCTCAGAAGCGAGTGGACATTGCTTTATTTCAAGTGCCTAAAATATTCATTCAATCATACCCATTGTCATTCATCAGCAGCAATTCAGACGGGAGTTTGTCAAGGAAGAGAACAGGCATCTCCCACGTCTTCTCTCACCAAGGACATTTCCAACAAGAGGTGGAAGATAGATAGTATCAATTTGCTAATAAGGAATCTGTCTTACAGCCAGGCAGGCTACTGTGTCTTCCCACTAACTGCTGTATTTCTAAATAAAATTTTATAAAAGAGCCAAGTTCTGTGTTATGTTTGGAGAGAGCTAACTACAAACCAGGTAGCTCCTGGTACATCTAATTTGTGTGTGTGGTTTCCCTTTTTCTTTTATTTTGTTAGTCCTCACCTAAGGATATTTTTTCCATTGATTTTTAGAGAGTGGAGGAAAGAAGGGAGGGGAGGGGGAGAGAGGGGAAAGGGAGAGGGAAGAGGGAGGGGGAGAGGAGGAGAGAGGGAGACAGAGAGGGAGAGGAAGAGGGAAAGGGAAAGGGAGAAGGAAAGGGAGAAGGAGAGGGAGAAGGAGAGGGAGAAAGAGATGTGAAAGAGATACATTGATGGGTTGCCTCCCACAAATGGTCTGACCAGGGCCAGGGAACAAACCTGCAACCCAGGTACGTGCCCTGGACCAGGAATGGAATTTGTGGCCCTCCTGGTCCGAGGGCCAACACTGTAACCACTTAACTCAGGCCAGGGTGTGTTTTATTTTTTAATTTTTTCTCGTGTATACTTACATGGGACAGTCTAACAAACACATCCTTTGAAATAAAATTTACTGGATTTTATTATGCTCGTAAAAATTTCATAAAATTCATAATCACAACAGTATAAAATAATAATTTGCTGTGGTCAGTAGTATGGGGAGTGGGTGCAATGGAGGTGGAAGTATTTCCCACGGAAGAGCCAACGGCAGCTCCAAAAATCATATCATTTCAGTAATTTGTTCCCAGTTTTCCAAGCACGTATTTTTTATGGATAGTATTATTTCCCTGCTCAAGCAGTGCTATAATATAATGACACGAATTGAAGAATTACTTACCTAGTACATCGGAGGCTCTCAAATTTTCTTTCAGAAACATAACAGAAATAAAGGCACTACCTAGAAAGAAAAATGACCATTAGTGGTGTTTCCAATATAAAAACATATATTATGCAATGGCATTTGAAAGGAGTGAAGCAGTTCGTGTCCTAAGCTGGCGAGCTGTGCCCTGATCAGAGACACCCAGCGGCTGTGGCTGTAAAATAACTTCCTTCATTCCTGCTCATGGTTCAGGGTACATGGAAATAGCCTGGTTCACAATGGCCCTGGGTCTGTGATTGGGATGGTGCCCCTGTACAGTGAGGGCTTAATAACTGAATGAATGAATGGGAAGGAAGGGAGGAAGGAAGAGAGGGAGGGATGAACTAACTAGTGTTGCTATGGAGAGAGAGAAAGAGATTGAAGGGAAGGGAAAAAAGGAAGGGTGGATAGAAGGAAATCTTAGCTTTATATCCCAAATGGAAACTCATTATTTCCCGTTATCTCCTCCTCCAATCCTCACTCCTATGATACCTCTGTGGAGCACCAGAATCCTAGGACTCTGCCTGGCTGCCCCCTCCCTCACACTACACATCCAACTGGCTACTGGGTCTGTTGAATCCATGTCTCTCTCTCAAATCCACCCTCTCCTCGACATTTCCCTGCCGCTGTTCCAGCTCAGGTCACTCTCATAGCTCTCACTGGGGCTTCCCATCTCGCGACCCCTTCCCCTTAGCACCACCAGAGTCATCTTTCTAAAAGGCAAATCGAATGTCAAGCTTATCAACTGCTTAGTAGCTTCTTCTCATTTTCAGGGGAGAGGAGGCCATGCAAAGACAGCCAGCCACGATTTGGTCCTGCCATGTTCCTTGCCACGTTTGCCCTTGACCTCTTGTATATGCCACACTCACTCCTACTAAAACAGTCACAATCCCCAGGACCGCCACTTAGCTGCATGCTAAAGGACTGTCATGTGTACCATTCCCTCTGCAATGTGGCCTCCGTCCTCTCAAGCACCTGGAGACTCAAGCATAACCTCTGGGTCCCTCACCCTGCCTGCACCCCAATTCCCACCACCAGGCTGACCACTCCACCCTTATGGGTGTCACCCCTTGGAATAGAGCTTTCACCACACCTAAGATCTGCGTGTCTCCCCTAGAACCATCCATCCACTTGGCTCTGAGGTATAGCTTATTCTCCCAAGATCTCTGATGGGTGGTTCGTGCCTAGCGTACCAATAAAGTGTTTGAGGATCTCTGTCCTACACTTGCTGGCCCTTGTGAGGTGTAAGAGCCTCGTTCTGTTGCCAAGGCTATTGAGTTCGCAGCCTCGTGACTGAGCCATGGCCTCTGTGATGGCTCAGCTACATGAGCAAGCCAACTCTCCTACATAGTTCCTCTTATGGAGCCATTCCTCGGCGAGTTGGGGGCATGGGAAAAGGAAACGTGCAATAATACAAAGAGCAGACACACAACATGATCTGTATTTTAAATTTAAAAATTATTAGCCGAGTTGTGTTTTTTTTAAATATACAAGGGAAAAATCATTATAAAATAATTTAATCACTTAGAGAAAACTGCAGTTGGTGTGTGTATTTTCCTTAATTAAGATAAACTATAATGCAAGTTCTTTTCTCTATTTCCTTGGCTACTATATTACGCACCATTTGCCGTGTCATTAAAAATTCTTCATAGATACCCTTTTAATGAGTCTGTATAATAATCCATTAAGTCAGTTAAATTTGAATATATCTGATATTCTGGCAGTTGATGTAAAACAAAATAACAATTCTACACCAGAAACTCTCATTCAAGGTAAACTGGGACCCTCGTAGGTTCTCTCCATCTTTTTCTCAGGCTAGCACTCTCATTCAAGTTAAGCTATATCCTTGCGAACTTTTCCTGAGCAGGTTGTTTATAGGAATGAAAGATTCACACACAATAAACAGAGCATGGGAACTGTCCACCAGGCATGAATTTAATTGTGTGGCATGGCTCTAAAACATTAAAGAAACATTTTCTGCACACAAATTAATCTACAGATACATAGCCCATTACCTTAAGAATTGAGTTGGGGGCAGACTGAAAATGCCTGAAAATCTTGTTTCAGGTTCGAACCAACATAATTCAGGTCAACTGATTTCACGCGTTAGAGAATTAGAAAAGGTATTAAAATCAAGACCCCACTTCCAACCCCATCACTGACTTCCTGCAGAGTAAGGTAAGGAATGTTTTCAAGCAGAGGGAGACAGATTAACAATAAAAAATAGGCAAAGTATCCCTATGCTAACACACACACACATACACAATACTTTCCACTGTAACGACAGATGACTTATACTTAATAGCAAAGATGCCAGTAGGAAGGGAGACACTGTTGGCATGGAACAAGGGAATACTAGAGTGAGTAAGAGACAGAGATAATCTACTGTTAGAATTGGGAAACTGAGGCCCAAAGAGGTTGTGTATTCATCAATCTGTTCATCTAACAAGCATGTATATTACAGTAGGAGTGGAAGCAGTAGTCATGTTTCCTTATCCCAGTCCAGAGCCCTTTCTTGTAAACTACACTCCGTGGCTCCCTTGAAATAAGGAAAACATCATTTCCCTTCTCTTGTTGTTGCTAAGCCACCATTTCATAAATACTTCCACCTTCAGAGGAATTGGGGAAAATGTTATGGAGGAGATAATTTCATTGCAAGAAGCAAAAAGAATATGATTGGTAACAATAAACTTGAACTACACGAATGCACCAAATCACATAAATGCCTGTGAAATAGTTATCAGAGTTTTATGAAACATAACTATGCTGTTTTTACTTCCTGGGGGGGGGGGGATATGTCCAATGCACTTATATACTCATTTTTCTGTTTTAAGAGAACATGAGATTTTCTGTAAACATTTTACATAAGAGAATAAAAAGATTTTAAGTTTTATTTATCTAACAAAGAAAGCAATAAAAAAAGAACATTCTATTAAGATCCATTTACTTGTAACTCATCTACCTTGCAAAACATTGTTAAAATGAGAGCTGGGCTGAGCAAACACAGTATCGGAACAACAGCTAATCACATGACTTGCAAGTGGAGAAGTAAATATTCAAGATGAGGGAAAAATAAACTGAATGTGCTCCCATATACAATCAGAGATCTGTCAAACTCAACCCTGTCTAGTTGTGGCTAAAACCCTGACCATTGTGTAATGAACACTTAGAAAGGGGGAAAATCTATTACACTTTTATTCCTCTAGTAAAATCCAATATTTAACAAGAGAGAAAAAAAAAAAAAAGTCCAGATCAAAGGCATTAAAACAGAACACACTTGTAAAGTAAACAGATTTGGGCTGGGTATAGCTACTACTGAGCACGCACACTGTTGGTACATTTTGGACTACACGCATATTTGGGCAGAGGTTCGTTCTGGCTTTCGTAGGACATGGGTCTACACAGAGAACGCTCCGACCACTGATCTACACAGAGTGCTCACAGACACCGGTCTACGTGAGTGTGCATAGACTCCGGGGTTAAATTCATGATGCAGCGTCACTCTGTGACTCCAGAGATAGACACTGGACTGCAAATGACCATAACAAATTAAAAAGGTGAAAAGCAGCATAAGAAGTGGTTCTGTAGGAATTATGAGGGGGAAAGAGAGCAGAAATATTATCCATAGGGAAAAGGACAAAAAAAAAATACCGAAGTATCTTCTCTGGTTCACACAGTGCTCCATGGGGAAGTTTATTCATATATTCACTTGGCCTTAACCAGAGAGCTTCATGGCCACAAAGAATCTTAGCAACAGGTACAATGGACTGACTCCTATTGATAGTTAGTTGTCTATACTCTCTTCAGCCGTTAAGTGTCACTCAGGTTAGCAATCGGAATGAAGATGTTTTCTGGTCAAGGTTGACCAAGGAAAAGTACACATGGGCATTCTGATTTGGATTTCCAGATGAAAACAGATAAAGGCCACGCAAGATTCTGGTGGCTTTCGCTGAACCAAGCCTAGATGTGGGGGACCGTTCCGGTCCCGGGTATAGGTATGTGTCCTGGTATTGAGCTTCCTAATACTTCCTGGTTTACTCAGGAACAAACCCTCTTATTTGTCCTTCATTTACCACCTTTTTGATGTCACTTAGACTTGGTCTGAAACTTGGCTGTTATTATCCAAGAGTTACTTAGCTTACTGTAGCCGAGAGCTGGTGTTGCAGGCCACGAGTTAGAGAGAGAAACCAACGAGCATAAATTAATCTGGTGCCTGAGAGTTCAGAGAAGTTTTACACACTTGATTTGGATTTCTTCTGTGATAGCTACTAAGGATCAGAAGTTAGGCATCAGTTTCCTGTTTAGACAGGACAAGGGTCTCAAGGTCTTGGCGGTTCTTAATGCTATTCTTTTTAAAAAATATATATATATATTTTATTGATTTTTTACAGAGAGGAAGAGAAAGGGATAGAGAGTTAGAAACATCAATGAGAGAGAATCATCGATCAGCTGCCTCTTGCACACCCCCTACTGGGGATATGCCCGCAACCAAGGTACATGCCGTTGACCGAAATCAAACCTGGGACCTTTCAGTCCACAGGCCGACGCTCTATCTGCTGAGCCAAACTGGTTTCGGTTCTTGGAGGTTCTTAATGCTATTCTTGCTAGATGTTAAAAAATGCACAGTATTTTGCAGCTGTTGCTGCAATGAGATGAGCTTGACCAGAACCACACCTACATAAGTTTAGGCAACTGTGAAGAAGAAATGGACAGGTAATCGACCAAACAGTGTATACAAACTATGGCTAAGCCTCCCTTTGGGAAGACAGAGCTTTGGGTGTGAGTTTCACTTGCTGCAAGAATAAAACTAATGGCAACCGTGCCTTGTTCTTGAATAAGAACATCCCAAGTGGTAAACCCCTTGAGTTTGGTAACATTTCTGTAAGGAAGCAATGAAACGCCAGGGTAGATTTTTACGTATCCTTTTTTATTTTTGTGTCTGTAGAGTGATAAATTGGCACTCCCTTTTTCAATTTGCAACACTGAATTATCTGTGTACATTTTACTTAAACTATTTATCCCTCCAAATAATTTTTTAT